GTATGGAGGTGCAGCCTGGGTTGCAGCGCTAGAAACGAAGCAGAACCAAAGGAAACCATGCAAGTCGTGAGTGCGTACAGAACCAACTCGTCGGAAGCAGTACGCGTTATCGCTGGAATGATCTTTATCGGTATCACCCTAGCGGAGGACAGCGAGTGCTACAGGTAAAGAGAAGGCGGACGAGTACGGAAAGTTGTGAGAACGGAGTCGTTGTCTAAGTGGCAACTTGAACAGAAAACACAGAGAAGCCAACTTCCACCTAAAGCAGTTCCTGTCTGGCCACGGCTACTTCATGAAATACCTGCATATCCTCTGTCCGGAGTGTGGAAAAGTGGATGAAACGTCGGAGCATGGGATATTCGACTGTCCAAGGTTTGAAGCAGTACGAAGGGAGATGCCCGTCCTTAACGTGGAGAATGTCGTCGATGAAATGTGTCGAGAGGAGGGCACATGGAATGCCGTCAACAGAGTAGTCACGAAGATTATGTGGAAGCCGCAGCGTAAATGGAGAGAAGAGCAGCGATCTAGCAACGCCAGCTGGAGCTGAGAGCATGAGAAGTGCACGTTCAGGGGACCAGATATCCCTAAAGGTGCCGCCACACGGCGCATGATATTTATGTTATAGTTCTCTTTGACATAGCTGATTTAGATTTCTATATCATAGTTCTATGAGATTTGGGAAACCATTTTCAAAAAAATATGAACTATAACGTAATAGTAGCTATGTAGTAGAAAACTATAACGCAGTGCTATAAAATAGAATTTTCGAGTGTACACACGATTTAATTTTTTGTGTATTTTTTTTTTTCGTTTAATGAACCGGTGCGCATCATAAAAAAAAAATAATCGCAGCAAATATATGGGATTAGAGTTAATTGGGGACAAACTCTTATTGTAGGGAGATTTGAAGAGATAACTTCCTGGCATTGCTGAGATTTGTTATTGTCATTGACAGACTTTCGTGCCATTTTTTTTTAATTGATGCTCAATTGATTGATAGACATGATCCTCAAAAAATCCTTCGTCAAAATTTCGTTCATTTTTCGTCAATGACAAAGATTCATCTGGTAACCAATAGTGAGGTGAACTGGCAGTGAAGTGATAGTGAAGTAACAATTTTTACCTCGGATGAGTTGAGTCTCCGTGCAAATCAAATGGAGAGTCACCTCATCCGAGCTGACAATTGTCACCTCACCGGTGACAGCGTGCCACTCCACCTCACACGCCGCGCAGAATAGACCTACTAGGATCAGTTTCAAGAATTGACTAACTTTACGGATGTTCTGGATCTTCCACAGGACCAGTCTTGTGACTTAACGGAAACTGACTCTTCCCAAAAGGTAGCCAACTATCTGCTTAACAATTTCATCAAATACATCAGAAAGTTATCTCTACAAATTGCCGAATAAATTTGAAGTTGTGACCGGAATATAGACCCTGGAGACCACGCGATGGTCCACTGGAACATCCGTAAAAGTGGTAAATTCATGCTACTGATCCTCAACATTCACGGTTTTTTTTCGAAACCTCTCATAGAAGTCTTATCATAATATGAAGTTATGACCGGAATTTCGTCACTCGAAACCACGAGGTGGTCCTCTAAAACATCCGAAACATCCGCTAAAGTTGTCAATTTATGAAACTGATCTTAGAGCTCCACTTTTTTTTTTCAAAACCACTCATATAAGTCTTATCAGAATTAATTCAAAGTTGTGACCAGAATATAGACACTGGTGACAACAGGATGGTCCACCGGAAAATTTGAAACATCCTTAAAAGTGGTTAATTCATGAAACTTATCCTTGAATTCTACGTTTTTTTCAAAGCCATTCATTGACATCTTTTTAATATGAATTCGGAGTTGTGATCGGATAATTGACTCTTGGGTTCACGAAACACAAAAACACTCATTGGCATCTTATCAGAATCAATTTGGAGTAATGACCAGAAATTTTACCCTGGGGACCAGTGCACAAAGGTTCCCAAGCCGTATTTAGAAAGACAAACATATTTGCGCCCAAACCATCACTTTTAGGTATATGGTGTCTTATAGAAAGTTTATTCGTATTTTTTGGCCAATCTTTTTATGTTAGTGAAATTAGGGTGGTCCATAAAATTGGTGAATTGAAAATACATTTTTTTTTTTATATTTGAAGACCAATGCAGTGTTCTAAAAATGTTTAGAACAATCAATTGCATAAGACATCAAATTTCTATCTCTTATGGTTCATTACTTATGATTATTTTAAGCAAGCAGGTTAGGGTGGCCCCTAGAAAATCGACTTTCTTTAAATATAATTTTATAAGTTCATTTCTCGTAGAAACTTTGTTTTAAATACTTTAAGAACTTTTTATGACGCATATTTTTGCTCAAGCAACTTAGTTGATATTTCTTTTATCTGAAAAGTTATGGCTAGATTTTGGTAAAAAATTTGATTTTTTTTAATGAATCGCTCTCACTGTTTTCTTACCAAAAATGAATAAAAACACGTTCTTTCAAAAGAAATCAAAGGTTTGAAAATCGGTTTACTCCTTTTAGAGATATTGACAATTTAAAAAAAAGAAATAGAAGAATATCTCCATTAACTTTCTAATCAAAAAAGATAGCAACATGGTTGCGTCATCAATATGCGCCATCATAAGTTCTAAATGTGTCCAAAACAACGTATTTACGAGAAATGCACGTGTGAAAAGTTATTCAACTAAATCTGTTTTAGAGGTCTTGTTTAAAAAAAAATTAACTCATGAACCATAAGAGATATAAGTTTGGTGCCTTAAAAAAATGCTTTGATTTGATTGTTCTACAACTTTTTAGAACATTGCATTGGTCTATCTCAAATAATAAAAAAAAAGTTTGTATATCCAATTTACTAATTTTGTCGACCACCCGAATTTCACTAACATAAAAAGATCGGCCAAAAAATATGACTATATGATAAAACTTACGGTTTGGGCGCAAACATTTTTGTCTTCCTAAATTCGGCTTTGGGACTTGTGCAGTGGATGCCCTTGCGAAAGATCCGAAACATCCTTAAAAGGGAAATAAAGCCGTAGGTCCCAGGTTCATGAGTTGATGGGTCGAAAGGTAGGGTCCTGGTGTGGGAGCTGCCTCCCTGGCGTCTTATGAGTTGTTTCTAAAAAACCGTGGAGCTCTACGATCAGTTTCATGATTTGAGCACTTTTCCGGATGTTCCGGATCTTCCGGTGGGCCATCCCCTAGTCTCCAGAGCCCATATTCCGAACACAACTCCGAATTCATTTTGATAAGACGTCTATGAGTGGTTTCTTAAACAAAAACAAAAACATCTGTTAAACAAAAACAACAACAGCTGTCAAAAAACTATGACCAATATACTATATATATATATATATATATATATATATATATATATATATATATATATATGAACTATTCCTGCTTGATGAAAAAGTAGCTTGCAACTATGATATAGAACTATCGCTAGAGTGTACACACGACAATGAATTCGGCTCTATGTCATAGCTCTAAACTATAACTTGCAAGTCATAACTATGAGCTATCATAGGTTCATAGGTCATAGGTCATAGGTTTAGTTCCTATGGGCTATAATATAGTTTTCTATCACATAGCTCGCTATATACTAGAAATAGCCTCCGTGTGGCGGCACCTTAAAACCTTTCTTTGGATATTTCCGAGGGAATGGTCACTCCACACAGTGTGAAAAAATACAGTTGGGCATATTTCAGCACTGTACTATGTATATCTGCACCTGCGCTGTGCATGTGTCCAAATTTAAATAATTTTTGTTTGTTGTTCAATTTTTGGTTTCATAGCTGCAACCACGAATTTCCGGTCAAGTTCCGCCATGGATTCCTCGGTATTATGCTTTCAGTTTTCAAGCGTGGATGCTGTGGCTGCGGGATAGCGATTTTCGATGACTGTAAAATATACTTTCATCTCCTCATCTATCATATAAAAATTACCACTTTAGTTTGTTATTTGAAATTAGCAACTATGTAAATCGTTGACTTCACGCAGAAGTAATACAAAAACATATAGTCAAAGTAAAAATAACTGATTTTTCTAGACCAAATTTGATCTCATCACATTAATGGATCATTGAAGATGCTGAGGTTTTGACAGCACCGTACTGTGGCTACCACAGTATTTTACATTGGTTCGTCCGTATACAGTAGCGCCAAATGAAAGCTGTGGTGGGTTCAAAACTCAGCCATCTCAAATGATCCATTTTCGTTGTTTCAGCATTGTATCGTTAAAAACGATCTTTTTTTTTGTACAACAATTTAACAATAAATTTCAATGTACTCGAAATTCAACAGTAGAAATTATTGTAATTTTGCTGTTTTATTATAATTATTTTTTTCGGGCAGGCACATGACCGCTCCAGTGGTGCTGAAGACTCCGCATCGGGAATCGCATTTGGCAGCACTTTGTGAATGCAGCTACCTGCTCTCCGCTGAAGCAGCCAGCCTTAAGCAGCATTTCGTCGCATTCTCAACTAAACCGCTTCGTCCCGTTTCTTGTCGTCCAGTTGGTACATGACCTTGGCCACCTGAAACCGTGCATCCTTGTTGTCCCAGTCGGGTAGTTGGCATCGATAGCTTGAGTGCGTTCCAGCGGTTATAGGTTTCGAATGCCATCAGATGCGTTTCGATGATGTCTTTGCCGTGCTCATTGTTCAGCAGGCGGAGGAACACGATCACGTTCTTGGGGGGATCGTCCGGTTTGGCCAGTTTGTCCACCTGGGGTGCCTTTGGAACATCGTCTTGGTTTGGATGGTTGGGATCTGGGAAAGGTTTCTACTGCTTGTTGTATTGTTTCTTCAAAACAAAATATCTGAACTGTCAAATTAACTGGGTTGCCAAGCATACCATTAAACAAGCGAACAAATTCAGCCTGATTTTGTAGGTAGAAAAATAATTGAATTACAAGTTTGATAAGATATACTTAATCCGGGAATGATTTTCTGTCAAACTCCCCTGTATTGAAACACGCATAATTATCTAGGCCAATTATAATCCTTATAATAACATCATAAATTTGAACACTTTATTCAGTCAAACCAATACCACTAATGCCGATTATATTAAAATTTGTTAAATTTTGAAAACCCTACGCCAAAAAATATCACCAAACCATAAACACATCTACTAATGGCTAAGCTACTACAGAACTAGCGACTAATTTCGTTTTCTGCCCAAACAATCAACATTATCCCATCATGGTTCTCCAAACGTAGCTCCGAATAGGTTCGGTAGCTGTTTATTTGGGCAGTTCTTGGCTTCAGAGTTGGCTTTCTCCGAAGCGGCGCATGCAACAGCGAATCTGCAAATCAGAATGAAAAACAAGTCTGTTAATAACACTATTTAAAAGTTGTTCCAATTTGAACGACTTACGGCTGCTGCATGCCAAAGTACTGCTGGTCGGAGCCGTTGTTCTTCTTGAAGTTGTGCGGCGAGTAGCGATTGTAAAGGCCCCAGATGCTGTTCATCAGCTTATCGCTGTACTTGACCGGTGTGAGGTCAAGCGCTGCAAGTACACAATCACAAATACACACTTTCTTATTTGAAAGACAATTTCAGCGACGACGCCGAGCAGCTATCGGGAGCTTGGATTAGTGATGAAACAATGTTGTAATGTTGTGCAATTGTTCTTATGTGGGTATATGGTTGCTATGCCAACATAACGGCAGCAGCAAATTGCGAGCGAGATAAGATGGGTGACGTGTTTGGTATGTAGCTGAAATCGAAATCGAATACTCACTGTTGTTCATGTAGCGTGGTGCGTCCTGCTTTTCGGTACTGAGACGTGCCACTGCGAGGTTCTTGTCGTTCTGTGCTTTGCGCAGTTTGTGCACTGCGAAGGCCGATTGTGGAAGGCAAGCCATTTTGTTGCACTCTGGAAACGAGGAGGAAATAATGGAGAACATTGGTTAAGACTACGACGGTGCACTATATCGAATAATATAGAGAGACACGTTAACGATGATATTAGATAAGTTACTGATGAAATCCTAACTAGTAGATTGTACAAGATAGTAGGAGATAGATACATGCTAAAAAAAATGACATGCACATCAAATGTACACACTCAGAAATTTTTACAGAAATCTGTAAAATTTTACCGAAATCCTAACAGCTGAACGTTCGGTAAACAGTTTCGCAGACCTGTAATTTTTCACAAATATCTGTGAATTTTTCACAGATATCTGTAAATAATTACAGGAAAACTGTAAAAAAATTTACCGAACGTTCAGCTGTTGAGATTTCGGTAAAATTTTACAGAAATCTGTAAAATAATCTTAGTGTGTAAGTGTAGATTTCTTACATCCTGTTTCTATCGAGAAATGTAATAGCAGTTTTGACAGTGGACTGTAGCGTACACAGAAGGTATTCCAGAATGAATGTTTTCGTATGAAACCACCACAAGAAGATTTTCTATCCCCAATACATTTGGGGAAACAACTTTTAGCGAAAATTTAGCTAGCATAAACTGAATTATTTAAGAAACCTTCCGACGACTACATTTCAAAATGGCAGCTATGATGACGTTATATTAAAGGGTGTCCGCAGTTAAATTGCATCAGTTTCAAAAACCTGTAACATTTTGCCCTCTGTGTTAATTTTAATGAAATTTTGGGTGAGATGGCCTCAGCTTGAGTAATTTACACTGCGTGCGTTTCTTTGTGAAATTTCTAGTTGTTTTGAAAATGGAGTCGAAGGAACAGCGCACCTCAACAATGTGGGTTGCACCGAATCATCGTAAAGATGTTGGGAATTCAACAATCTACTGTTTTTTTGTGCCATTAAACATTTTGGAGAACGTTTAACCAGCGAATCAATTTGAATAGCGAATCAAAACAAACATAGTGTAGTACCAAAGAAGAATACTAAGATGAAACAGTCGGAAGAAAAACTTTCTATTTTAGTGTCCTCTTTCACGGTCCATTTCATCCAATGAATACCCCCCGTATGCAAGGTAATTTTGTGGTTTTGCTGCCCCCTCGGTATAGTTGAAATTTTGCGATCTTTTTTTATCAAAACAATCACACCAAAATCAGAGATGTCCCATTTTTTAAATTATTCGATTAACATCTAATCGATTATTTTTTGTTCGCTGTGCTGTCATTTTTCCACCAATGAGAGTGCAGCATATGTTTGAAACGATGGGTGATGATCCTCTGGAGAAGTTAATGCTTAGATCAGCATGATATACCGATTACAAATATTTTACTTTTCGGTTCGTTAATCGATTAATCGATTATTCGAATGAAAATCGGCCATCACTAGATGAATGTGAAACGTCATTTCAAATTTAAGGCTGTACATAAATAATGATACAATATGAAAGGGACCGGGGCTAATCACAAATTACGTCCGTGATTTTTGCAAATGTAATCGTTCTTATTTAAAATATTTCCAGTGTACCAAAATTGAAGAAATTTTGGGCTTGGGTTCCATTTTTAATGCAGATTACGAATATACATTTACCTAAATACCCTTAAAGAACCCAATTTCGTGCCAAAGGATCTCAATCCCCCAAACACACCGGAGTTGCGGCCGATCGAAAAATACTGAGCTGTAATGAAGCACGAACTCCGTAAGCATTCTAAAGTTGTCACTATGGAGCAGTAAATGTTGAAAGCAATGTCGATTCAACCGTTGTACAAAACCTTACGGGTGAAAATTCGGGCATTTGGATTTGGTGAAGAGACACGTAAACCAAGCTTACATCTCGAGTAACATTTGAAATGAGCCTATGTCCAAAACGTAAACAATTCGGGTTTTGATACGATTCTTTAGCACCGCTTGATAGCTTCTAATCGTGTAAGAAAGTTCCGCATAATCGAGAAAAATCATTAAAAATAACTCGATTTTCGGAATGGCCGATCAACGAAATTTTTCGATTCATAATAGGCCCGCACGCTAAAACGACCGATCATTCATTTATTTCATTTCATTGATAAGCCTAGTGACGTAAAAGGTCCGATGATTGAACATTTTCAAACCAAAGCTAGGCCCTACTACTTGAGGCAGGGCCGATGATTTGTTTTTAATTTATATCAAGAACAACATGTGAAAAGGGCATACAAACTTTTGGTACACAATCCTTCTTATGCCCTTTTCTCGCTACCCATATGCCACCCACGCAAACCATCAACATCACCCGGTAGGGAAAGCTTTTCCCTTTCCGATGATGTTGTTGGTTTACGTGGGCGACCCTTGGTTGGCGAGAAAAGGGTCTACAGAGGTTTGTTTATAAAAAGCTTGTATGCCCTTTTCACATGTGGATCTTGATATGACGTTGCGAAAAGGCTAAGCATAAGGCGTACCATATCTGATGACAAACACAACGGCTTAACAAAAAGGGCCTATCCATTGAAAGATTCACAAAAAAGGCTTATTTATTTACAAAATTAAAATGTTATCGATTTTCATATATTTTTGTAAGCTTTCCGCATATTTTGGATGTTGTATACTGAGATACAGTTACTATTGTTATTGTGAACAATATAAATGCCTAAAATAATTGTTTTTTTTAAAATAGGAATTGAATAGTGCCGGAAATTTTTTAAATTCATTTTCTGGTTTGTTTACGTTTTGGACATAGGCCCATTTCAAATGTTATTCTAGATATATAGTATAACATTCCCTGAAAATTTCATGACAATCGGTTGAGAGACTTATTTTTGGCGAGTACTTCTAAGTGATGCAATTTAACTGTGGAAACCCTTTAAAAAGTTTAAATTAAATTAGTCTCCTTCGACCTTGGAAAAATGTGCCTTTACTGCACTGCTACTCAGATTCACTGTTCTTCCCGAGTTTGTTTTAGTCAGAGGAGCGTAAAATCGGTACTTTTGATCGATTCGTCTGTGATTCGATAGGCAAGATGAAAATCGGTAGGTCTCGCCACTCTGCACTATGAGTACATGATATTTAAAAAAAAAAGTTTCTTTAGATCAGTTCCAGGCAGAATTGCCAGGTTGTTTTCAACCTTATCGGTATCAAAGGCTTGGGTTGATGCATATATTATGTCACGCTCTAAGATTTTGTGACAAGCAATGCATTAGGTATAGGAAAAACGTCACGATAGGGGAGGGGGTAAATTTCTCCTCGATTTAGCGTGACATAATTAATGCATGGGCCCCTTTAAAAAATTGGTATTTGTTGGTATTTACTATTTTTATTAATTTTATATTTCTGCCGTTTTCAATGGCATAAATTTAAACATTTGGACGAAGGGCGACCTTTCCTGGAATGACGTAAGACAATTTCCAGGGAATGTTTGAATTAGCTCCTGAAGAAAGCCGAAAAAAAAATCCCGTCCCGATATGAGATTTTCACTGATGAGATTGAAGTGAAGTGAAAATCTCACACAAAATACTATATTTTTCACCAGCGTAAAAAATGCAACTCGCAAATATTTCACTTCGCTTGGAAGTGTAAATAGATACGATCCACCGAAATAGAATGTTGTGAATCGTATATTTTTTGCTTACGTTTACTTTTTCACGCATGCAGTTGCTCGTGAAAAGCAAAGCAGCTAAGCGAAAAGTTAACGTCAAACTATCACTTCACCCGAGGTGTAAACTGATCGATTTCATTTCACGTGAACTGTGAACTGCGAAAAGAGGAAATAGGAAAATGATCCACAACTATTTTTTCACAGCCTTTTTCTCTAACGAAATTTTATGATTTTTGACTTGCTTCAAATTTAACTTCGCTTTGAACTGTATACTAGGCTTATAATGGTAATCCCAGGGGGACTATATCCAACAATCAATTCGAAACTAACGATTTTAAATTGACTCACTACTTGACTAGCCTATTGGTCCCAAGCAAATCGATTAACGAACCCCATTCTAGTCAAAATTCTAGTACTACACAATCTTTGTTTTGATTTGCTATGAAAGTTTGGCAGATAAAATGAGGGGTTAGTAGATTTTCCTATGTTTCGAGGGGTGAATCGATTAGCTTGGGACCGAAGATAGTACCAGAGCTGAGCCAAAAAGTTGAGCACATGTATTCGGGACCTTCTGGTCTTAGAGTTACCTCTATGCTATATCCCTGTCAACCACATATAGATAGATGCACCATAGCTCATATGACTTTGACATTTTTGGGCAATCTGACACTTTTGGGTAAACTGACAGCGGTAAAACTGACGGAGGTATGACAGAACAAAACAGCTTACTCTTTCACACTTACACACAATGCTAAAAAGAGTAGCCTGTCATCCTAACCCTTTTATTCATCACCTTGATGAGAACTACAGTCAACTCTCGCTCGTTGGACTTAACCTGTAGCCCACTTAGTGAAAGATTTTCGTTAGTTGGGCTGAGCTGTCAAGCTGAATATTGGTTGAGGGATACACCGATTGTTTATTATCATCGCAATCCTTAAGCACTATCCAAATTGTTCATGCATGAGCCCCTCGAAAAAGAAAAAGCACTGTCAAAAATGATGTTTGACTTCGATTTAGATGGGCTACAGCCCAACTAACGGAAGCCCAACTAAAACGTACACACTTAGACAAATTTATGTAAAATTGGGTGCTCTGAGACTAACATATACGAGCGTCAATTTTGACTAAAATTGAGTCATAATAGACGCGAGATTCAGCTCAATCAAACGTACTTTGGAAGTTTTCAGTCCCGGGGCACTTAATTTTACATGACATGTTTGTTTACGTCTCATTCTTTAAGATTAGGTATTTCTAAGTGTGTAGTCCACCTAAACTATGAAATGCTTGATTGTTGCCCCCGTAATCCTCATATTTCAGAAATGGGTGATTCAAATGTAATGGTGCTCAAGCGTACAAAGCTGGGTTGAAATATTCTAACAGGTGGTCTAGAACAATTTAAAAAAAAAGTGTTGTATACATAATTTACTCTGAAA